TTTAGGTAATGTATTCAGACTACTTTTTAGATTACTTTTTTTATACATCTAATTTACCATTCATACATTTCATAATTTCAAATAAAGTTTTTTCCCCAATATTTCAAAGCATGTATGGCAAAGTTATTTATATGACATTTACATGACCAATCCATATTGAGAATATAGTCAAAGCTAAATGGTATGACAGATGGTAGGATTTTTAAAAGAGACTTTAAAAGAGAAAAAAAGAATAATTAGGGATGATCAATGCATTATAAAGAATTAACTGCCATTGTGTGAATATGTAATCACGTAATCCACAAAAAAGTAACTGTAATCTGATTATGAGCATTTTACAAGTACTTAATTTTTCGAATCTGATTATGTAATCCAGATTACATGTAATCAGTTACTACCCAGCGCTGATTATTAAATACCAGCGTTATTGTCATTCCAAACCCAGCTTTTAACCCCAGGTAAACAAACGTCATTTAGATAAGTGCTTTTCACCTGGGCTTTAAAGCCCTGCTCCGGTTAGTACCGCTTTTGTGGCGTTAACCACTCATTGTGGTGCCAAACTTGTACTGTGTGAAATTATGCGGTCTCGATGCTTAGCAACAGACACTCAATCGTGTGCCTCATAGTCACATGCTTTGGACAGTCACAGAAACAAAGTGTGTTGTATAAACAGTCGTTTCATCATCTGAGGGGAAAAAGTCAGCTGGGAACCTCGTCAGCTGGAGTGAAGAAGAGACTGTTTCATTCCGGTCTTTATAGTCCGAAAGGTCAAATTCAGAAAAAACTTGTTAGCTTGTTAAGATTAATTGTTAACCCCAAGGATAGTATGAAACATGAAGCAAGGATTCATATATACTGTACAGTAAATTCCCACTGCTTTTGTGAGAAAAGAGATGCCCATGTATTTAAAGGGATAGTTCACCCAAAAATGAAAATTCTGTCATTAATTACTCACCCTCATGACGTTCCAAACCCGTAAGACCTTTGTTAATCTTTGGAACACAATGTAAGATATTTTTAAGAAATCTAAGAGCTTTCTGACCCTGCATAGACAGCAATGCAACTGAAATGTTCCCAGGCCCAGAAACATAGCAAGGACATAGTTAAAATAGTCCATGTGACCTCAGTGGTTCAATCGTAATTTTACGAAGCTTCGAGAATACATTTTGTGCGCAAAGAAAACAAAAATAATGACTTTATTAAGTGAACTTTAGTTTCAAATGTCAAATTTTTTTTTTCACATATTGACCAGATATAGAACGTCGAATATACATTTTAGCAAACATACAGCATGGAAACATCTAGTTTGCTGCTTTGATACATATGGGAGCAATTTTATGTGAGTCTAATTGGCTATTTGTCACTGACTGAAGGACTCCATCTGCGGTGCATATATGTGCGTCAATCACAGCAGTTCGCAACATGTGCTTATGATGTGACACATTAAAACAGCACAGCCGATGCGATGGGAGCAAATCGTCCCTGCCCTGAGAACGAAGACATGAAGTGTGGCAACACATGTTTCTTCAGTAGAAAAATATTATTATTATTATGAAATCTAAGAGCTTTTTACAGCACACAGTTAACCTATGACCCGTTCTCTCAGTGTTACTGTTGCGCTGTCACGCAAATATGTGCCGATTGTGTAGGGATTTGATCTGATCTGGATGTCTTGCATTAAGATGTTTGTACAATCTTATACCATATGGACAATTCAGAGATCATAGGAATTTTTTTTTGCGATTGTGGTCACTAAAATTCAGTTCTTAGGAATGGCTGTAATGATTCTTTTCATTATTTCATTTTTTTTATTGCTGTTGTTAAAGAAGGGTATTGTTATGCTGTCACTCACCACAAACAGGCAATGTTTGTTTCTGAACGTTTGCTTATCCAGACGCGTCCGGAAAAGAAACACATGCCATGACTCGCTTTGTGTAAACAACAATTACTCTTGAGGTGATGTGACAAAAAAAAAAAAAACGGTGCAGCACGCTCTGTGGCTGTAAACAGGAAATGTGTTTTATCAAATAACAAAAAATATCACCAGAACCTACTTAACACTTCACGCACACTCTCGGTTGCCAGCTATCCTGCGCTTGACTGTGAGACAGAAACACTGAAGGCTTAGGTTTGTGGTTCCACAACAGAAAGCTAGATTTTTCCCCAAATAATATTTAAATGATATTATACATTTTTATAACTAACTAACTTTCCTAACTCCTGCCATCAGAATCTGATCCCATTGCAAAATTTGTTTCGTTTGGCAGAATGTAAGCATTTAGGAGACTTTGCTTATTGAGTATTGTTGTTATTTCAAATCTCTGTTATGAAATGTGAGATTGAGTGATTTGGGGTTCATTTTTGTGTAAATGTGCATGAATGCTAATGGACATTCTTTGAAAGCAGTTATCAGATGTTATCATTTGGTCTTTTATCAGTTATTAGCCATTAGATTTTCTTGACAAAAGAATCATTCTGTTTGATATATGCTTACATTATAATGTATGAGACATGCCTTGTGGTGATTTTATAATTTATATGCATGCAGTTTTATCATACTAAATAGGACTTTTTGTACTTTTAAAAATTCATATATCATATCACCACTTAAAATGAACTATTGAAAACTAACAAAGTTATACACTACCATGCATAAGCTTGGGTTCAGCAAAATTATTTTAAAGAAATATTTTTCATTTTTAAAAAGTTTTATTTAGCAAGAACACGTTAAATTGACAGTAAAACATTTACAATGTTACAAAAGATTTCTATTTCAAATAAATGTATTCTATTTCAAAAAAATGTATCACAGTTTTTGCAAATATATTAAGCAGCACAACTGTTTTCAACATTGAGAAATTATAAGAAATGTTAAGACACCGGAGTAATGGCTGCTGAAAATTCAGCTTTGCCATCACAGGAATGATTTACGGTTTAAAATACTATATATTTAAATAGAAAACAGTAGTAATTTTCACAATATTACTGTTTTTACTGTATTTTTAATCATATATAAAGCTTATTTATGAAGTAATAAAAAACTTCTTTCAAGAAGTAACCCTATATTTAACCTTTTTAATATTAAATCTTGATGTTTATAAATGTAAAAATGCTTATGGACCATTAAATCTTAAATGTAACCTAAAATATTGATGTTCATAAATCTAACAATGCTCATGGACAAGTATTTAATCTAAATCTAAAAATGATCATTGGCAAGTTGGCAATATATTTTTCCTGCCAAGTTCACTTAAACATTTGTGTACCTGCTCTTTTTAAAGAAGTATGATGACTTGATGCATTAGAGTGATTTTAGAGCTCCTTTAGTAGTCGAAACAGTGTTTGGTAGTAGTAATAACTTTTCGTTCACCTGTGAGTTTAAAAGGAGGACTGTTGGATCCTTAAAATCTTTTCCAAGATGAAAGTTCCTGCCCTGTAAATTTGAGTCATTTCATTCACATATTTAATGAGCTCCTCAAACATGACAGGATACCTTACCAAAACGTCTTTAAGCAGGTCTTTCACTGCAGTGTGCTAGCTGAAAATAACACGCTGTCAACCAAGAGGAAGATCAGTGTGATGGGTAAATTGGGATTTTTAAACGCTGCATGAAAGATTCCTCTCATTCCAGCCTAAGGGTGCGTACGGGCAGCTGGCTGCGATTAGTGTGTATAGAGAGTCTTGCTGTAAAAATATGAAGAGTGGAGCTGTTTTCTGAGTTTTGTGCTGACAGCCGCTCAATTGGGATACAGCCCTCTACTCCACACACATGGCAGCGCAGCAGGGCTCACACACACACACACACACACACACACACACAC